CTCCATGCAGAGTGCAAGCCCGGAAGTGCAGCTCTTCCTGGTGTTTGCCAGTTTACACGTGATTTATCTGAGGTCAGTTGGTTTCTAGGCAATGAGTATATTAAAGTCTTTGGCAGTAGAGTCCTTATGTGTGGATTCGGAACCTGACAACCGTATGCTTGCTGGGGTAGTCTACACTCCGGCTATAATCAGAAGAGCTAGCTTTTCACCTGGTAGGAAGGAGACTGCAAAATCGTGAGGTGGTTTGGTGAGGTCTGAAAGAGGATAGCATTTTTTTTTTTTTTTTACTTCTTTTTTTTTTTTTTTTTTAAAGATTTTATTTATTTATTTGAGACAGAGAGAATGAGAGAGAGAGCACATGATGAGAGGGGGGAGGGTCAGAGGGAGAAGCAGGCTCCCTGCCGAGCAGAGAGCCCGATGCGGGACTCGATCCCGGGACTCCAGGATCATGACCTGAGCCGAAGGCAGTCACTTAACGAACTGAGCCACCCAGGCGCCCAAGAGGATAGCATTTTTATCCACCCTACATGTAACTGTTGCACAGGTTGGTCTTTGCCAAGATTGTGAAAACGGCAGTTTGTTGAACTGGTTTTTGCATATTAGAGTCACAGAGAACAGGGATCATCTCCCTTTTCTGGTTTTTACTCTTCACCTATTAACTTGGTACTCTACACATTTCGAGAAACTTCTCTACTAACAAACTACAGAAATGAGCCCGGAAAGTATGGTCTTCACTTTGTAACTTTGGGTGATTGAAGACCATCCTGGCTTATTTTCTCAAATAAAGCAGGGGCCGCGAATGGTTGCTTTGCAAGCGTACATCCAGTGTTTGCTCTTCCAGGCGGGGGAAGGGGAGAACCCAGCTCTCGCTGCTGCCTCGTGCCCTGCAGCGCCCGAGTGAGACAGCCGTCCAGGCCGAGAACGGCCCTGCCCCACCGCCGGCGGTCACCGCCTCAGCAGCCACCGAGGCACCCAAGATGTCCAATGCTGATTTTGCCAAGTTGCTTCTGAGAAAGTAAACGTGACTCCTTAGAGGGGAAATGCCTTACTGCACACTGGCCAGGAAGAGCACCCGGCCCCCAGCTATACTCTGGGTATGGAAGGGCCCGGGGCAGCACCCCTCCTACGCGTTTTCCTCGGGGTTAGAAAGGGATGAGGGTGTCCAAGGAAGGAGGCGTGAAGCACTCCCTCATATTGAGGGCAATAGGAGGAAAATGATCACTCCACGGGTTGGGCCCAGTGTGTAGTTTCTTAAGCTCTTTTTGTGTCTTACAGAGTGAGAAACGGAAGTGAAACTCACACACCCCGTTTTGAGACCCACTTGTCCCAATGTTTTCGGCCATCTGACTCCCTTTTATAAGACACTTCTCTTACAGCCTGCACAGCTCATGTGCCCGTCACTCTTTTAATTTTAAAAGACAAAATGGCAGATGCTAGTAATTCACCAGAATGGCCTATTTTAGTAAAGGGGTGGTGGGGATAGGGGAAATCACATAAAAAACATTTGATGGATTTTTGTTCACGGGGGGGGGGGGGGGGGGCTGTGCGTTTTTATATTATGTATTTGTAAATGACACATCAATCCATTGTTTTATGTTTCCTAAAAGCAAAATATTTGTGACCTTTGTTTTATATGGGAGTTCTGTGTGCCACCTGCTGTGGACCATTTTCTTTGCCTAGTGATTAGTGAACCGTGTTCTTTGTCTAAATATTGAGTTTCAGCCCTTTGGTTTTGTTTAAATACCATGTCAAGTACAAACTTAAATTCTCCCCACTTAGCTTTGTTTATTAAACTGAAGTTCTCTTCAAAACTTCTTGCTGAATGGTAGTCAGATGTGCATTCAAACATGGATGTATTTTGAAAATGGGTGCACTTGTCTTACCTAACAGATGTGTAAATAGAACTTTTGTAAGTCAAATCCTATTGTCCCTTTGATTTAAATCATTTCAGTTGTGATGGGTCTTCTTCAGTTTTAAACTTCACTTTGCTGCATTTTGACCCTTCAGCTTCTAGGCTTTTTTTTTTTTTTTTTACATCTCATCTCTTATCAAATATTTAAAAAGCCATGTTGCCAGTTCAGTAGGGAAAAGGACTTTTTTATAAAGACACTCTGGGGGAAGAAATTAGGAAATGCTTTCATGCGTGCTAGAAATCAACCCACTTCAATTGGTTTTTAAGTTTTTGTGCATCAGGCTTTACTACATTTTTAATGGGAAATTGGAAGTGTCATCCAAAAGTGTTGACAAAAGAGCAAAAGGACCTCATGTGCCTGTCCTTGAGCTTCAGCATCCCTCTCTAGCACAGGGGCCTTCATCTCTGCCGCCCCTGCCCTCCCTGTTACATCGTGGCCTGTGTCAGACATGGCGGCAGCACCCCCCCCCCCCACCAGGGGACTGCAGCGAGTGCCTCCAAGAGATAAGGCCCCCCAGGCCACAGTTTTATCATTACTCCTAGAAATAAGCCCAATAATGCCTTCAAGTCCTCAACTATCCAAATTCCTAGTTTCCTGTTGTTTTGTAAGTGCATCCCCCCTCCCCCAGGAGGTTAGGATCGGTTGATAAACCTCTGAAGTCTTTTAATCTGATGGTTCCCGTCTACCTTGTCTCTTTTTCACAAAACATTTTTTGTTAGGTGTTAGTTGTGAATTAAATTCACGTAGTGGCCAGAAGAAGTGTGCTGTATGTAACCCTGGTCCCTCCTGTGTTCTTTGGAATGGGCACTTCCCCCCGCCCCTGGAAGCCTGTTGGTTGGGCGAGCAGACTAGGGACAAGCAGGGACTGCCACCGAGGAACCCCGAGTAGCTCCTCACCCATCCAGGCTGACGTGGCTTGCTTCCTGCTGCTGCACGTTTCACCGTCCCTCTCTCAGTGTTGGCCAGTCTTCTGCCCTCACTTCATGCTTTCTCGCGTCAACACAGGCTCATTACAGAACCGAACCCGCTCGGACTTGAGCTCAGGGTGTGGACGGTCCTAGAGACGGACTGTCAGGAACATGTGAGTGGGTTTATGTGTTTTCCCCAGGAAATCAAGAACTGCTGGTAAAGAGAAGCACGAATCACCATTTGCGTTACTGGCGTGTTAGTGGAAGACAGTGCTTCAGGCCCACCAGCGCAGGTAGGTAGCTTACCCCCCCAGTTCCGTCTCACCTCCCTCTCGAAATGAGCGCCTCATTCCATAGTACAAACGGGGCTTAACGTCCCGAAAGGATTCCTCCTTCATCCTTGTGACAGATGGGAACATCGTTTGAATAAGACCGCGAAGTCTCAGGCCTTTGTGTAATAAAATACTTTATTAGAGTCAGCAATCTATTAAAATAACGTCCTTCACAACAGAGCTTAAAGTGCACGTTTCTCTCTCGTACAAAGCACGCACTTCTGTCAGGCTTCCTCAGTGTGCTTATAAAACCAAGACGAAAGAAGAGTTCAGGGGCAGAGAGCCCTCATGGCAGCATATGAATATGCAAATATTTTTCATAAAGGTTTGAATAACTATCCCTCGGGGCCACTTCACAAAGATTTCTTAATCTTTCAGAAAGCTACTCTGTGCCTGTTACACAGTTAAATAACTATAGAAACATCTACCTCAGAAGAGTGACCTCCTTCCTGTCAGGGTATGACTTCCCAGGTCAGAGACTACACTTTGTATGTGTTCACCACCATTCTGACCCTGACAAAGTGCACGACAGCGCTGGACGTCCTGGGCCCCGTCACTGGGAGAGGAACCCGTGGCCCTTTGGACTCTGAGCAGCACAGCGGCGGTCATGGCGGCACCTGGGCTGACGTGCTCTTGATAGAGAAGAGTCTTCTTCCATAGAATGAAGACTTGGAAACTTGGCCGGATCACACAGGACATTTTATCATTTTACAAGATGCCAGAAAAATAAGGCCAGTCCAAGGCAATCTCTTCTGCTTCCCCGAGGGGACGCGGGACAGTACAAGGGCTGGGGGAGGCGGGGGTCAAGTCAGTAAGTGGAGAAGACTGCGTGACAAACGGGGCACATCCTGCCTGGCTGAAAGGTTTGCCTTGGTTTGGTAGAAACTCCCTCTAATTCATTATCAAAAATGCTAATTTGGTGTTGACGTGGCAACTTTTTTCTCAGATGTGTTCTTGAATATCTGCCTACGCGAGATGTTCAACTCCAGAGTCAGAGATGAGGGCAGACTCGGCTACTTGCACAATACCTGATTTGCAGTAGGATTCAGTTGCGTGACAAACCCAGAGAACTTGTAAACTAAAACATCTGGTCTGAGTTGCTGCACACGAAGTGCGAGAAACATTTCATACACAGAAAACCAAGCTGGCCACTCCCCTATTCTCTTAGTTAGAAAAACAGTCTTGATAAGGGGACATAACAGCCTTTGGCACTAGAGTTTGCGAGCTAACTATGACTTAAGGACTTCCTTGAAATGAGGAAGGTATCTACCTAGAAATGTCAACATTAATTTTATTTCATCTCTCAGAAGTTTGCTCTACCAGTGAGAATTAGTCACACCGCCAGCCTCTTTGTAGAAGCAAGCTTTCAGTCCTTTCTCAAAACCGGGACCAGGTTCTGCCCAAGAGTACTGACCTCTCAGGTCAAGTCACAGGACACTTGGAGGAGTTCCTCCTATGGCTTTTGGACCTCCTTCCACACTTCTGGCCTCTTCCCACCTGAGTGCAAATTCTGCTCCAGAACCTGTGTTCTGGTCACAACACACAGCACTGATGCTCCCAAAGCCTCCCTCCTTAGGGACACCACTGCAGACAGCAGACGCCACACAACATTTACTAGCCCCAAAGAAGAAAATAAATAAATAACTTGGGCTGAATTATAAGTTACCTTAGAGATAAGGCTTAATAATTTAGGTGTTTGTTTTTTTTTAACTAAAACATTTGGAGGTAAAGAACGTTTAAGTTCCTTTTCTGTCTCCTTTTGCTTTAGGAGACAACTAGGTTTCTAGAAATGCTAAGGGTTTCCCCTCCTTGGGACATCCCTTGTCACCAAGGGAGGATTTCCAGGGTTAGGGCTTCACAGGCAGTGTCTCCTTAAACCCGGAGTGGTTGGGTTTGGCCTCGGGCAGTGCCACCGGGTACTCTGTTGTGGCAAAGAGCAGGGTGTCCAGAGTGGTCTCCGTACACTTGGCGATGAAGCGAATGAACGGCCTCACGTCGCCTTCATTGGCGACCTCCAGTACATGGTAGTACTCGGACCTCTGCTCCTTGCGGATGGTGATGGGTGGGTAGCCCGCCTGCATCAGGATGAGGTTCATCAGCAGGCGCGAGGTCCTTCCGTTGCCATCGATGAAAGGGTGGATGTAAACCAATTTATAATGGGCCAAGGCCGCAAACTCCACTGGGTGCAGATTCATGGCATCCTCGGAGTTGAGCCACTGGATGAACTCCTGCATCTGCTTTTCCACATCTTGAGGATGGGGAGGGATGTGGTGTCCCACGAGGACCTGTGTCGTCCGAAACCTGCCAGCTTCCACTGGATCCACGTAACCCAGCACCCGCCTATGGATCTCCAACACGTCGCTGATGGTGACAGACCCGATGCGGGAGACTAGCGTTGTGTTGATGTACGTCATTGCTGCGTGCATGCCGATAACCTCGTTCTGCTCCTCCAGGCTTTTCCCTGGCACGGCGTAGCGGGTCTCCAGGATGTGCCTGATTTCCGAGAGGGTGAGGGTGTTGCCCTCGATCGCGACTGTGTGGTAGATGTGATGGTAGTAGGTTTCCTCCATGACTCTGCGCAGCGCAGAGTTGCCCTTGGGGATGGACATGACCTTCTTCACTTTGCTGTCGATGATGCTAAAATACCTCTGGTCGATCTCCTCGACCAGCGGCAGCGTCCGGTCCCGGTTGACCAGCGCTTTCTCATGGTAGGGCGAGATGGTCAACGCTCTGGTGTATAAGTAATCCGCCTGGATGATGTCCTTGTCCTCTTCTGAAAAGATGCCAAACTCGTTGAGTGCATCCACAAAGTCTGGGTCCATTTTGAGGGCGTGCAGGAAGAGCTTGTGGGCTTTCTCCCGCTTGCCTTGGCGTTTCATCTCCAGGGCTTGGTTCAGAGCTGCTTTGGCTTCCAACTTACCAGCTAGAAAAGAGCCAGAGAAGCGTTGGCGGGAGAGTGGGAAGGGCAAAGGATGTTCAGGAGAGCTGTCCCCTGTGCTGGCCCTTCAGGGGGGCTCGTTCTAGTCCCTCTGCTCACTCTACACTATGGATGCATTTGTGCCCCGCAGCTGGTTTTTGTCTGTGTGTCCCCAGAGCCATTCTCTGTACCCTGGAAGTACCACTTGGACTCCCTGGACCCCTGCCTTCTGAGTGCCCGAGTGAGTGGCTGCGGCCACAGCTCCTGTTAGGTGGCTCTCCCATATTCTCAGTTCTCTGCTGTCCTGGCTCAGTCCTGGTGATGCTGGCCCTGGCCCCTGTCCCTTCAGGCCTAGGCTGGTAACAGTTCCCCCCCTGGTGCTAGGCTCCGGAGGATTCCCCATCCCTGGGCTGTTCTTTAAATCTTTTAACCCAGTGGTTCTCAACCAGGGGTGATTTTGTCCCCCCCCCCCCCCAGGCGACAGTTGGCAGTGTCTGAAGACGTGTTGCTTGTCGCGGGGGGTGGGGGTGGGTGGAGGGGTGGGGTGCTACTGGCATCCAGTGGGTACAGCCCAAGGATGCTGCTCAGTATCCTACAGTGCACCCCAGAGGACAGTGCGGAGGGAGAGAAACTGCTCTAGATCTAGCCCTCCCTCATCAGCCCCTCCACCCACACACGGGGCTGCTTTTCGTCACATGCGCAGGCTCTCTCACCCTCTTGTTTCTGCCTGGTGCACTTGCCTCTCATGCCTTTTCCTTTGGGTCATTTTCCTATTTACACTGGGGTCTCAGCTCAGGCATTCCCTCCAGGGAGCCCGCCAGGTGTGCCCGGTTTCCCACCACCGTGCTGGTGATGCTGTTATCTTAGCCAGTGGTCAGCTTGTCTAGGCTGGGAGCTCGGGGCGGACTTACCCAATTAAGGAGTGGTGAGGAGAGCTGGCCGATCTGCCTTACCTGGAGAGGCCTTGGTCTTGACCGCCAGCGGTGGTGCGTCCCCGGAGGTGACACTGAGCTCTGTGGACGGGCTGCTACACTTGGTGACGGCATGCTGCACCCTGTCCAACTTGCTCCTGAGCAGGTAGAAACCTTTGAGCACGGTCAGACACTGCTCTTCTAAGGCCCCCAGCGGCAGCAGCAGCGCCAGCAGGGACCCCAACACCATGCTCAGCAGCATCACCCACAGGAAGCGGCCCCAGACGGAGACCCATTTTGGTTCAGTCACTGCCATCACTGAAGCCATCAGCACGAGTGTCATCTGGACTCAGGGGTGGGTACCCTGCACATATTCAGTTGCCTGAGAGCAGGATCTGCGGGGAACCAAGAGCTGTGGATGGGGCAGGGGAAGGGGACACGTTCAAGATAGGTTTCTGAATTCAGCGGGGGGTTGGAGGCCCCCACACCTCCTATCACTATGACCCGGAGGTTGGGGCAAGGCAGGAAGTGGATTTAAATGGGGAGGGGCCAGCCTGGAGGACGGTTGCCACTTCCAGGGCGCCGTGACTCTGAAAAGTAATGACACTGCACTCAACATTTATTGAGCGCTTACTGTGTGCCAGGCCCTGGTAAGCACTAAGGACCTCACACATACTATCTCTTGCAGTCTTCAACAGGAGCTGATGTTACCGTCATCCCACTTCTCTAGATGAGGAAACAGGCTCAGAGAGATGAAGCCCCTTGCCCAAAGTCACCCAGTGAGTAAGTGACAGCCTTAGGACTTGAATTCAGGAACCCATGGCTCTAAAGTCCCCTCCCTTGACCACAGATCTGTGCCCACACACATATCCAGATTGGCCAAGGCAGTTCCGAGGTCTAGTCTTTGATATGCACAACTGTTTGGTGGCCGCCTCTTCATGCCCACATCCTGGTATTAGCCACAGTGCTGCTCCCCTCTCTGGCCTTCCTTCCCTGACCTGTCCAGTAAGGATTTTACCTAGAGCCTGGACAGTCCAAGCATCTCAAAAGGAACTTAAGCTGTGGGCCAGAGTGGGTGAGCACTCACCCTCCACATGACAGTGGGCATGTGCTTTGGGCTGGCAGTGGGAGTGGAGGGGTCAGGTATGCAAGCACCATTATGCTAACAATAAGCATTTATTGGGCAACTGTGGTGTACTGAGCACTAAGCTGAGTGCTAGCCACGCGTTATCTCAATCATTAACACCTTATGAAGGAGCTACCCCCAACTCCATTTTACGGACAAGAGAAACTAAAGCAGGGTAAGTCAGTTTCTAGAAGGCCAAGCTAGTAAACAGAAGCATCAAGAATGAATTCCCAGTGCTTCTGGGAAGACTACCCAGGTCTTAACCTCTACCTTATTCCCAACCAGGGCCCATGCATCCCTGCTCCAGCCTGCTCCTGGTGCTGGGCCTCCAAGACCCAGAAATGACTGATTAGGTTTCTGATCGCCCAGGGCTCAGTCTAATGGGGGAGCCTGGCTCGCTGCTAACACCTGAAATGGCTTGGTCTGCGCTCTAACCGGGGTACGCTGGGCGTGCTGTGGGGGGTTTAGAAGAGGGTATGGGTCACTGCTTCGTCCAGGTGCTCTGGGAGGCTCCCGGAGGGACGGGATCCGCGGCGGGGCTGGAGTTCGCCAAGGACCCGGGTCTGCGCCGGGGGAGGCACGAGATGCGAACGTCTCACTCCTCACTACCCTAGGAAGGGGGAAACTGAGGCCCAGAGGGGCGATGTGGCTCGACTTAGGTCCCTCTGAATCCCGCTCAGGGCTCACTTCCCCGCTGCCCCCTGCCCAGCTCGCTCCTTCCGAACCCCTAGGGCTCGCCCCCTCCTACCGCGCGCTGCTGCCCGACCCTGCCGCCGCCTTCCAGGGGCTCGGAGGTTCCGCTGCCACCCGCTCCCACCCGCTCCCAGGCCCTGCTCCGCCGCCGGCCTTGTGGCCCCGCCCCCGGCGACTCGCCATTGGTCGGCCCGCCATCCTCGTCGCGGCGGATTGGTTTCCCCGACTTGTCCTCCCCTCGCACTTCCGGGTTCTAGCTTCTGTGTCGGCTTCCCCGGGAAAGACGCGCCGTGGGTCACCCCCATTGGCTGGCTCCTGTGTTGGTCTCGTGCCCGCAGCAGCCAATAGGCAACCGGAGGGGCGGGGCCCGGGCGACAAGCGGGAGTAGCGGGCGGAAAACCCGCGCGCGGTGATTTGGGGGCGCGATAGGTTCCGCGACGGAAACTCGCAGTTCCGCCTGCCGTGAAGTGCTGTCCTTCTGCTCCTCGTCTGGGGGCCACTCTCCTGGCCCTCCGTTTCCTTAGGTGGAAAATGAGGATGCTCCGCACCCTGTTAGTCTGACTTCAGAGCTCCTGTTCTTAGACCCGACTCTGTGATATCAGGGTTGACACTTCTCCGTCTTTCTCACCTCTCTTTCCCTTTTCCTCCCAAACCTTTTAATTTGCATCCACTCGAGAAGGAACTGGCCGGTTTGTTATCTTCCCAGAGAGACTGGGATTTTTCCCTGAAGCAGAGAGCTGAAACCTCCATCCTCGTTCACAAATATTGAAATGCAACATCCAGGAATGCTAAGCGTTAAGATGTTAGCCCTATTGATTCTGGAGGCGGAGAGACCCCGGCTTCAATCCGGGCTTCGTCACCTAAGCTCTGTGTGACCTTGGGTGTTATTCCAAGCCTCAGTTTTTCCATTTGTAAAATGGGGACAAACAGCCGACTTTGCCTTTGGCCTCAAGTTCAGGATCTGCGGAAGGCCCGACTCTTCAGGATCTGACCTCCTCCATGACACACATCCCCCTTGGGAGCCACTGTCAGGCAGTGGTTGTGGGTGCCGCCACCGGAGCCACACAGCCCTGGGGTCTAGTACCAGCTCTGCCACTTGGAAACGGAGTTACGTTTAGCAAGTGACTCGATGCCACTGGTGCCGTCTGCCTTTCTGTAAAACGGGGACAGTGCGGTGACACTACCTCCTCAGAGGGTTTTGTGTGAGGGGGAGTGAGATCCTACATGCCTGGCACAAAGCAGACATTTGATAGGTATCTGCTGTTGCAGTTATTCCTAGACAAGACACAAAGTCATCGCTGTTTTGTTATTCGCAGAAGAAACTGTCAGAGCTCCAGGTGGCTCCAGTCACTGGGGAATGACTCCATGTCCTTTCATAGGTCTCAGTCTGCTTCCAGTTGAGGGAAGCCACTGACCTACAGCCAGGAGTGCGCTGTCGTAAAAGACACCATGGGGGCGGGGGCGGGGGCGGGGGCATTGCAAGGTGAAGGACCAAACCGCGCGGGCTGTGCTTCCTGTTTGTATCTAGTAACCGTTGCCCAAGCTTTGTGTCCTGGAGCAGGTCACTTACCCCGCTGAACTGGCTGTCCTGGGGCTTGTGGACTTCTGCCCCTCCCAGGCATAAGGTGACGTCATCATCTGCTTATAAAGGCACCATCCGGGGGCCCCTGGGTGGCTCAGTCGGTTAAGCATCTGCCTTCAGCTCAGGTCATGATCCCAGGGTGCTGGGATCGAGCCCCACGTCAGGCTCCCTGCTCTCCCTCTCCCTCTGCCCCTCACCCCTGCACACTCGCTGTTTCAAATAAATAAAATCTTTAAAAAATAATAAAAAGAAAAAAGTTAAAAGAAATAAAGGCAGCATCCACTTTCCACATTCCGAGGTGCCAGTGTCACCTCTTCAATGCGCTTAGAATTATAGGTAGCAAACCCAGAAGCTACACAAGAACCATCTACGAGTTAAACTACCTGGGCATGGGACAACAGGGGGAGGTAGGGAGTGTGGAGAAGGTGAGAGTACCTGCCTTATCCAAAGTGGGCAGCAGCTTCTAAGCTCTAGCCCACATTTATTGTGTAAAAAAAATATATATTACGTCCGAAAGTTGGCAGATTTTCTAATTTTTCAAAAGAAATGTCAGGCCTAGATTTTTAAGCAAACTCTCCAGATTTTTAAACAGTTGGCACATCTGCCCACTGGCTTCGGAGGGTTGCCAGACCGTAATCCCTGTTTTAGGCTTTTAAAAGGGGCGGGAGATGGTGGCTGGGAACACAGGAAGGAGCATCACAAATGCCTCTCTCGGCAGATGATCGCACCACTGCCTATGGCCACCAGGGGGCAGTAATTCACCGGGCATCACGTCCCCCCCCTACGATCTCTTTGTCAGATCTCAATTTTCTCGTCTGCGTTCAGCTGCCTTGAATGCACAAAATACTTTGGTCCTTGAAGCGATAGTCAAAAGTTGGCTTGCCCCACCTTAAGCATTCCGTATTGGGTGGAAATGGCCTCCTCGCGGCCCACGGAGGAGTTCTCTAAAAGCTTATCTTGACACTTGACAACCTGGAAAGTGGCTGCTTGGGAAATGTGTCCATTATGCAAAACCAAACCAAACCAAACAAACCCTTGTACATCTTCAGGAAACAGCAGTCAAGCGCTGCTTGCTGGCAGAGTCGGATTCTATTGCTTTAGAAACACAAAACTCCCCAACTGGAGGTTCTATTGCTTTGAAATGGCTCCAGAAAGACGCAACTTCACGTAAAAGAAAATGCACCATACTGGTCCCCTCCCCCCACTCCCAGGTGCCTCTCATTTCCCAGCTGGCTTGAATTGTTTTTTTCTCCTTTTAACTTAGAGCTGCTGTTGAAGAGGCCCGCCCCCCCCCCCCCCCCCCCGCAGTCCTTCTCCCTGACTACTGACATCTTCGGTTTGCATACCCAGTGGGGTCATGCCCCAGTGCCTGGGGCATCCCCAAAAGGCAGGGTTTGGGGGAACACCGCCCTGGAGGTGTCCTTGGGCCCAGGGCTCCTGCTCTGGATTCAGGATGATCTCAGACATGCAAATAAGTGTTGTTTCCAGAGCAAATCACTTGGGGAAGTGATTTTTCTTACTTTCAAAAAAATTAAACATAACTGCTTCTTTTCTTGTTAAATAGTCAAAATAACCAACTACTTTCTTTCTTTCTTTTTTAAATTGAAGTATGGTTGGCATACAATATTATGTAAGTTTTGGGTGCACGACAGAGTGATTTGACAATTCTGGACATCACTCAGTGGTCACCACGGAGAGTGCAGTTACTGTCGGTCACCTTACAGTGTTATTACAACCATTTTATTTCCTAAAAGCAAAATGGGATCACAGATATAATAAGAAGGCACAAGTAAACAATAAGAAAAAAATTCCCATGCACAATTATACTAGATATTTTTTATGCATGTCTATTTTTAAATTATGAAGTATTTCAGACATCCAGAAGGTATAGATAATAAAATGGGTACCTGTGTGCCTGTCCCCCAGTTTAAGAAATATCATATTGGAGCGCCTGGGTGACTCAGTCGGTTAAGCATCTGCCTTCGGCTCAGGGCATGATCTCCAAGTTCTGGGATTGAGTCCCACGTCTGGCTCCCGGCTCAGTGGGGAGTCTCCTTCTCCCTCTGCCTCTCCCCCTGCTTGTGCTCTCTCTCTCTCTCTCTTTCTCTCAAATGAACAAATAAAATCTTTAAAAAAGGGAAAAAAAAGAAAAGGACTAGAAATGATCCAAATACCTATCAACAGGTAAATGGGAAATAAACTGTAAGTGCAGTAAGACAGCAGTGTATGATTACTGAGCCAGAATTAACTGTATCAACATGAATATAATCCTCTAAAATATAATGCCAAACCAAAAAAAAAAAAAAAAGCAGGAGAATACACAATGTATATATGACATGTAAAAGCATGCAGAACATCACTATATATTATTTAGGAGTATATACGTATGGTTAAAAACAAGAGGCCATGGTATGGATGTAATAAGCAACAAATTCAAGATGGTGATTATCTCTGGGAGGGAAGGAAGGGAAAGTGACAGGGGAGAGAATGACTAGGGCTTCAGGGCATTGGTAATATAATCTATTTTTTTAACTTACTTACTTACTTACTTATTTATTTATTTATTTATTTATTTATTTATTTATTTTAGAGACAGAGAACACAAGCGGAGGGGCAGAGGGAGAGGGAGAGAGAATCTCAAGCAGACTCCATGCTAAATGGGGAGCTCGATCCCACGACCCTGAGATCATGACCTGAGCCAAAACCAAGTCCTTTTCAATTACAAACACATGGCAGTGAAATTCTTGTATGATTTTTTGGCATGTGTGTGGACGTTTCTCTAGGGCAGAGTTTCTCAATCAATCACCTGGGGGGCTTTTAAAAAAACATCCATACCTGGGCCTGCTCTAGACCAATAAAGTCCTCCAACCTTTCTGATCCTCCTGTATCTTGACTATAAGGGGAAATAATTGTACCTGTCCCACTATCTCATTACTGGTAGTGGTGATGACCACTTTTTAAGCACTTACTGTGTACTAAGTAATTTATGTGTATTGTTTTATTGGATTTTGGTAACAATGCCATGAAGTAGAGATCATTAAACCCACTTTACAGAAGGTGAAACTGAGGCTCAGTGAAGTTAAGTAATTAGCTTGAGTCACACAGCAAGCAGGTGGCAGAGCCAGGGTTCACAACCAGTCTTCCTGAATCGAAACTTACAGTTTTAACCACCCTCAGACCCTATGATTTCAGGGCTGACAGGTTGTGCTTTAGCTCTTCAGTTTTACAGGTGGAGAAACTGAGGTGCATAGAGGGCAAGGGCAGAGCCTGGACACAAATCCAAGTCTGTAGACTCTGTTCACCAACACATCACTTTCTTTTGTAAAAGTACTTTGGGGAGGGGCGTGAGGAGCAAGGAGGGAAAATCTTTTTTTTTTTTTTTTTAAGATTGTATTTATTTGTCAGAGAGAGAGAGAGAGAATAAGCAGGGGGAGCAGCAGGCAGAGGGAGAAGCAGGCTCCCCACTGAGCAAGGAGCCCGATGTGGGACTCGATCCCAGGACCCTGGGATCATGACCTGAGCTGAAGGCACACGCTTAAACGACTGAGCCACCCAGGCATCCCAAGGAAGGAAAATCTTAATAAAACCATCTTTTCTTCTCTAGACAATTTCTGGCTATCCTAGGGGCAGCTGGATCTACTCTGTATCAGTTATCCACTGCTGTGTAACAAATAGTGCCCAAATTTAGCAGCTTAACACAATAATACAAATGTATTATTTTACATAGTTTGTGTGTGTCAAGAATCCAGGAACAGCTTAGTGGGATAGTTTTGACTGAGGATCTCTCTCAAGATTGCCATGTTGGCTGGGGCTACAGTCACTTGAAGGCTTGACTGGGCTGAGGAGCCATTTCCAAGGTGGCTTGCTTAGGCGGCTGGCAGGTTGGTGCTGGCTGGTGGGCAGGGGCTTCAGTTTTTCTCCATGTGGATCACTCCTTAGGGCTGTCTGGGTGCCCTGCCAACATGGCGGCTTCCCCCAGTATGTGTGATCCGAGAACATGACGTCCTTTACGACATAGCTTTGGAAGTCACATACTGTCTGAACTGTATGGATCACAACACAGAGCAACCTAGGTACAGTGTGGAAGGGGACTGCCTAAACTTCAGCCAGAGGTGAAAATCATTAGGGGCCATCTTGGAGGCTGCTTATCCAGCATCCACTGCACCTGCCCCTCCTCAATCCCAGTGGTTCCATCCGACAGCCCAACAGCATGGACTTCAGGGCCCTTTGGCCAAGTCTTGCGGGGGTAGGAAGCTTCTGCAGGTGTGAGACTGACCTGCCACAACGCTGGGCTCCCAGTTGCCCACTGCCTTTCCCCCAGATGTTTCATGAAAGCCCTCCAGCCGTGTTACTCTCATTGGCCGGAGAAGCTGCCTCCTCCTACCTAAAAATATGGTCATGCCGACAATGGAGACCAGCTCAGGTGCTCAAGATGCCATTTTAGATCATAGCCTCTAAAAGATGTGCCTAACACCCTCTCCTCTTCCTGCATGGTGATGGTGACTCAGGATGGCCACTAGGCCAGCCTGGTGTGCGGACCTACAGGACCCCCTGTCTGCCTCCTTCCCCTTCTCCGATTTCCCTGCTTCATGGGATCACGGGCTGTCCCAGCCATCATGGGGGCAGCCAGCGCCCGGGAGCTACTGGGCAGTGGGGCTGCAACCACCCTGGGTCCAGATTGCAGTCCCTTTGGACACGCCCCAGAAGCTCTCGGTGGAAGCTTTCTGTTGCCATGGTAATGTGGAGACAAGGAAATTAGCAAGGGTGCCCGGCTAGGCAAGAAAGCGGAGCCTTTACTATGCATTCCCCTCCTCTAACCAGATAAGAATTCTGAGGAGTGCTAGGGATGGACATCAAAGGGTCTTTTCCTGGCATCGAGGAAATGCTCTTTAATGAATTGTTGTGAAGCGAGCACAGCCCTTAGAGTGATGGTGTTGGCTCTGGCGTTCTTAGAGGAACCCGAGGAGGAAGTTTAGAGCCAGTGCAGCTTTCTGTTGTTGTTTGCTGTTGTTTTTAAGAAGACTGTCAGGTGTGTGTGTGTTTTAAAGTTTATTTATTTATTTTAGAAATCTCTACGCCCAATGTGGGGCTCAAACTCACGACCCCGAGATCAACAGTCTCGTGCTCTACCTACTGAGCCAGCCAGGCGCTCCTGTTGTTAATATCAGCTTTACTGAGCTGTGCTTCTCATACCATACAATTCACTCATAATCACAGTCGATTTTAGAACTGTTCATCTCCCCCCACCCCAAAAAAACCTCCCACCCTTTAGGTTTCTCTGCCACCACCCGCCCTCCGCCCCGGCAACCTACTTTCTTTCTATATAGATTCCTCTCCCTATAAATGGAAGCATAGAATATGTAGTCTTTGGTGACTGGCTTCTTTCAGCATTTTTATTCTTTGCCTCTTTAAGGTCCTCCACAGTCTCTTTGACAAAGGTGTCTCCATTCTCTTTGAGAACAGTTCTGTTGTCTGGGGGTGCAGCTGCCAAATTAGCCCATGGGCTCCAGAGGGATGGAGGGGAGCAGATTCCTCCAAGGCCACTAGCGCTGGCCCTTCCAGAATGTCCCATCTGGAGCCTTCCCGGCTGCTTCGAGACTGTAGTGGGGCAAGCGGCCTCTTCGGAGCACAGCTGGCCAGGTGTCCTGCCTGCGCGAGTGGTCATGCTTCCCCACGACTCCCTCTTACTGAGGCTGGGGTTATCATCATCACTGGCAAGTGCTTACTGGGTGCCAGGCACCGTCCTGCAAGCATCATGTGTGTTAAGATTAGTTCATTGTTCCAGACCTTTCTTTCCCCTCCTTTTCTTCTTGTGGGATTCACTTAAAAGCTACCTCTTCGTGCACCTGCTTTGCTGAAGCTATAATCTGCTTTCTCTCTTCCAGCCATAAACAATGCAGGTAGAAATCATCTCACTTTTTGCCTTGCGCTGGTCTAGATATTTGACTAGCATTATTATTGTGTTAAAATGCACATACCGTAAGATTTACCATCTTAACTGTTTTGAAGTGTAGAGTTCAGTGGCATTAAACACATTTGCATTGTTTGTACAACCAACACCCCCATCCATCTCCAGGACTCTTTTCATCGGCCCAAACTGAAACTCTAGCTCCCCAGTCCCCTTCCCCCCCGGCTGGGAGACCCCCTTCTACTTTCTGTCTCTCTGATTCTGACTACTCTAGGTGGAGTGTTTGTCTCACCTTAGCATAGTGTCCTCAGGGGTCATCCTCATGGATGGGTCATGGGTCAGAGTTTCCTACCTTTTTAAGGCCAAATAACATTCCTAGTGTTCACTTTGGACATGTCCTCGGTTACAGCTGAGGTGCTAGTCTGCTATCATTTCTTTTTTAGTTTTAAAGATTTTATTTATTTATTTACTTAGAGCAGCGTTAAGTTCACAGCAAAATTGAGAGGAAGCTACAGAGATTTCCCATATATGCCCTGCCCACTGCCCGGGCACAGCCTCCCCCTTTACCAGCATCCCCCGACCAGAGTGGAATGCTTGTTGTAATCGATGTACCTACAGGGACACATCATCATCACCCAGAGTCCATAGTTTACATCCGGGTTCACTCTTGGTGTTGTGTGTTCTGTGGGTCTGGACAGATGCATCAGGACAGGTTTCCACCATCACAGTATCATGCTGAGTATTTTCACTGCCCTAAATGTCCTCTATGCTCTGCCTGTTCATCCTTCCCATCCCCTCCCAACCCAGGGCAACCTGATCTTTTTACTGTCTCGGTAGTTTTGTCTTTTCCAGAATGTCATATGTGGGAATCCTACGGTATGTCGCCTTTTCATCTCAGCTTCTTTCACTTCGTCATATGCATTGAAGTTTCCTTCATGTCTTTCGTGGCTTGATAGCTCATTTCTTTTTAGCCCTGACTATTCCCTTGTGTGGATGGACCACAGTTTATTTATCTTGATTGCTTCCAGATTTGGGCAACAGTGAATAAAGCTGCTTTAAACATCTGTGTGCAGGTGTTTGTGTGGACAGAAGTGTTCCACTCCGGTGGGTAAATACCAAGGACAGCAACTGCTAGGGATAGTGTGGTGAGAGGATGTTTCGTGTTCTAAGAAACTGCCGAAATGTCTCCCACTGGGGCTGTCCCATTTTGCATCCCCACCAGCCCTGAGTGAGAGCTCCTGTTGTTTCACATCCTTGGCAGTATCTGGTGTTGTCTGTGTTCCCGATTTTGGCCATTCTCCTAGGTGCGTGGTGGTGTCTTGTTTTAATTCGCGTTTCCCTGATGACCTATGATATGGAGCATGATATGATTTTCCCATTGACTAGTGTCTGGGGAGATTAATTGGAAAAGTTGGTGAAAGCAGAAAAACAGAAGATTTTATATCCTAGAATATTTTCTCTTTTATATTAATGTACCTGTACCGGTGTTCTGTATGTTAATTTGTATTCTGTACACTAATTTTCCAATATTAATATTGGGCTAATTAATAGTAGGTCAATTGAGTAAACTATGTAATTAATTAATATTGGGTTAGTTAATCGATGAGGCGTTAATTAATTCAGGTCTCCTCTCATCTTTCCTATACAAATCAGATGATTGTCTCTTTTGGCTTACTTCAATGTAATGAGAACTTAAAGACACTTGCAGAGCAGAATATAGGACCGTTCCCGATTTTAATGGCTGCCCGCTGCCCGATGTTTTACAGCGTCTTCCTCTATAACTAATTTCTTATCAGTTTCCATTTAGAGATTTTATTTATTTGACAGAGAGAGAGAGAGAATGAGCACAAGCAAGGGGAGCTGCAGAGGCAGAGCGAGAAGCAGTCTCCCTGCTGAGCAGGGAGCCCGACATGGGACTCTATCCCAGGATCCTGAGATCATGACCTGAGGCCAAGGCAGATGCTCAACCGACTGAGCCACCTCGGCGCCCAATCTGTTCCTATTTAGTAAGTTGATTTTCTTAGGGCTTTCCCAAACACTTCACTTTTCATTGATACAACTTCCTTTTCCCCTCCTATTTTATCCTGTCCACTTTTTATCTAAAATATGTAATTATAATGGCAAGTACAAAAGGACACAAACAGGTTTGGGGGCAAACAGCTACTTTTGGTAAGCGCAAAGCTCACCTGGTGGCAGCTTACTGGTCTGTGGTGGTGGGTGTGCCGTGGACAATCTAACTGAATGCCCTAACCGGACAGATCCAAACCGAGCAAAATTCTACAAACTATTCGGCCAGTACTTGTCAAAAATGTCCTGATCTTAAGAGCCAAAGAAAGACCGAGGAACTATTCAGACTGGAAGACACTGAGGAAATATTGGCACCTAAATACGTCCTGATTCTGAATTGTGTCCTTTTATTATAAAGGATTTTCTTGGAATAAGTGGTGAAACTTAATTGGGGTCCGAGGATTAATTGATGATGATACATCGATGTTCATTGCTTGATTTTTTAAAAAGATTTTATTTATTTATTTGAGAGAGAGAGCACGAGCAGGGTGAAGGGCAGAGGGAGAAGCAGACTCTCCGCCGAGCAGGGAGCCCGATGCGGGACTCGATCCCGGGACTCCAGGATCATGACCTGAGCTGAAGGCAGTCGCTCAACCGACTGAGCCACCCAGGCGCCCATGAATGGAAGTTCTTGTAAGCATCAAGAGCTCACCTTGTCTCAGGGCTGATGAGATTTTACTGAACCTTGCTGCTTCCATTTATAAACGTCTTCCCTGTGGCTCCCCCTCACCGGGCTAAGTGTCTCTCTTGGGGTGTTGACCTCCGCTCACCCCATCCTGGAGTCCTGCAAATGGGGAGCCAACAGGGGACAAATGAGTGGTTTCAGGGCTCCGGGAGAGAACAAAAGAGTGGTTTATGGACAGGGTTGCTGGTGTTATTGCCACATCACCTCCGGGAGCTGCACAGAAGTTAATTGTTCAACATTTCACTTTATATGGCTGGATCTAGTGCCTCGGGGAATGGAGTGTTAAATCTCACACGTTGGCCCTTATGTCTTTCAACAGGGAGGGGGTTAAGAGGCTCAGTCACAACGGAAATGGAGGACGAATGAGTTTCCAGTGTGATGGGAAGGCGTAGAGGGGCCCTCAGAAGCGGTAGAGAGAGCCTCTTGACAACGATGCCCAATATTTTCTGTGCCTCCTGGAGGAGTAGCTGGAGGCCCCCGTTATAGAATAACAATAATTGCATTTGGACAGAGGTGATCTTATAAACCGTTGGCATGCACCTCCTCCCTGGATTGTCCTAATAAGCCTGCAGAGTGTGTGTATGTGTGTGTGTGCATGTGTGCGTTTTCTGTGTGTGCTATGCGGGTATTCTTTTCATTTTACGGTAGAGGAAACAGGACCAGGAGGTTACATGGTCTCCTCAGGGTCCCAACAGGATTCGCCTTCTGATTTCGAGACCAACTTATCGTTCATTTGCTTTTTCTATGATACAGATCCCCAGTGGGTGGCTTAGGGTATGTGCTTTAGAGATGACAAAAGGCAGCTGTACAGTGGTTTAAAGTACGGTTGGCAGACTATGGCTTGTGGGCCCATCTGGCCCACTGCCTGTTTTTGTAAATAAAGTTTTATTGGAACCCAGCTGTGCCCACTCATTTATGTGTCATCCATGGCTGGGTTTGAGTCTACACTGGCAGACTTGGGTGGTTGCAGCAGAGGCTGTATGGCCCACAAAGTCTAAAATATTTACTCCTGGGCCCTTCATAACACAAGTTTTCTGGGCCCTGGGTTAGAGTGCAGGGTCTGCAGCCAGACTGTCTGGGGGCTGAAAACCCAGCCCTGCCACTGAGCAGATGGGTGACCTTGGGCAAGTTACTTAGTTCTCTCTGGCTCTGTCTTCTCATCTGTGAAATGGGAATGATCACGGTGGTTGTCACATAGGTTGTTGCAGGAGTGACTGAGCTCTTGGCATGCGACACCTGGGAGATGTTCTTGCTCCTCTGCATAGATGGTCTTGCTCCTCTGGCTTGGGGTTGGAGATGAAGATGTTCTGAGTTGCTCTCCTACTGGGGGTGCTGGGAGCTTTGCATGTTGGTCCCAGACACGATCACACTTGAGATCAGCCCTTGAGGGCTGGGGAAGTAGCTTCGGGTCATCAGAGGGTCTTCCCTCCCTGTAGTGGGTCCCTGGTTGTTTCCACAGGCCCCTGAGCTAGGCTGTTGTGTGAATGG